GAGGCCAATGGGCAAACGACTACGGCATGCGCGACTATGAGTGACCCCCCCGCAGCAGTGCGGAATGGGAGAGGAGAGGTTGCCGAGCATAGTATGGGAGGCGAAGTGGGCAAACAAAAAGAGGGGTAGACAACCCACGAAATGGGTCAAGGTTGTAGAGGACGTATGGAAGGGGTTCGAAATCGACGAAGATGAAACGCTGGAAACGGAGGGTCTACAGGGGTTCAAGGAGAAGATATCTGTTGCTTGTGCCGAGAGAGAAGAGTATAACCTAAGGAAGTAAATCTAAGCAAAGAAACAGTGTACGGAATGTTGAAAGGAGGAATAGGGTTCAAGGACTACCTATATGGACCAATGGATGCAGGGACAAAGCTTAAGGTCAAATTCAGGACCGGGGACATAGGCCTCCGAGAACGTCGACGAAGACATAGGACGGTAGACGACGAAGACGACAAGTTCAAATGTGATTTGCGGCTGCGAATGCGAAGACCGTGTTCATGTAGTCGCGGAATGTTCGTGGTACGAAAAGGAGAGGAAAGTGTAGACTACATGACTGAGCTGGGAAAAATACAAGGGAGGTACAGGGAGATGTTTGAGGCATGGAATAGAGAGGAGAAGACGGAAGCTGTACTGGGGAGTAGGAAGTGGTTTGAAAAGGCGGGAAGTGATATCGTTAGGATAGATAGACTAGGGACGGCATTTTTGAGCCACCTTTGGCAAAGTAGTAAGGAACGATTGGCTATCGGTATAATAATCGGTCCTGTGGGAACAATGTTCCGTCCTCTCGAGGACGCGTGGTCAATGGTCTAACCGCTAAGGCATACAAAAGAGTACGCCCCCCCCCAGCACTTCTCCCCCCCCCCCGGGGTTTGCCAATGGGGTTGGGTTTTCATCGCTTGACAATGACGTTACGAAACAAGCCGATCACTTCGTGAGCTTGGCAACCAGGTTACCGCTTTTTTTTTTTACCTCTGTTTTTTTTTTTTGCGGTATCCATGATGGGGGTCGAGTAGGTTATGTTGTGCGGGCCGAGAAACATCACTCCGCGCAACGGGGATGATCGCACCACGTTGTGTTAAATTGGTCAAGCACCCTCGAGGTAGTCCGTCTAGACGTCGATGTTGTGGACTAATTCTATTTTTCGTGGGCGCATGATCATCGTTCATCATGCACATACAGCGCCTTTACATACAGCGCCTTCTTTTACATGAGCAAGACAAGAAGGAAGGATGTCTTGCTTCCCGTATGCACGCAATCAACCAGTCAAGCAGTGCGCAAGCTCTGATGACAAGCGCTGCATACATACGGTGAACACCTCAGAGCTGGGCGGGTAAATCTTTTTTAGGACCTAGTCTAGATTTCCGTAGATCCTCAGCCCTCAGCGGACCCGCCACCCCATTTTGATCAGTGCCAGTTACAAAAGTTCGCTATTCCGCCGCCTTTAGCGCGCGACACCTGGGCGGATCACACCATCTTGGTTGGAGCTCTCCCGCTGTGTCTAGTGCCTGAGTTCAGCGTTCTGACGGCAACCAGGTGAGCCTATCTTGCAATTGCATCTGTCGTTGTCAATTTTCAGACCGAGGACGCTGCGGCAGGTGGGGTTGTTGGCGGCCGCCCGGTTTTCCCTGGATTCAAACTTCAACAACGCCCTCTGTCTCTTTCCTTTGCAATACCTTCGACAGCAGTAATGCAACGTCCATACTGCTGCACCCATTACCCATGGAGGTCGAGACATCGAGACCCATCTAGTTCCGCGTTGGAAAACATGAAGATAAAGGTGACCAGAGAGAAGGAGCCATCGATGGTGCAGTCGAGCAACCGCCCTGCTCACACTCTATACTCTGTGTTGTTGGGCGCCCGCTGTTGCCGTGGTGAACTCGTGGTGAAGCCACGGCATTGCAGGATCCTCATCCAGTTCAAACTTTGTTTGGGCCGTGCCAAAAGCTTTCCGCGAAGCTTGCCGATTTTCTCCTGTTGTACTAGAATGTTACTGCTGTTGTACTAGAATGCTACTGCTGTACTGCTGCTGTACACATGCACAGACCTCAGCCGGCTTGAGCCGTACAGCAGTACTATACCCGTATGACGTTCTCTAGGCGAAGGCTTTGGAGATTTTGTTTTGCTATGCATACACAACGGATACTGCTACAGCACCAAACTGTTTGCATAGCCATGCGTATACCCAACGGATAGCGATAACATGTGCAGTTGTCCTATGAAGTTGCATGAAGCGCGAAGATTCTTTCTAATAGACAAGAAATCCTAGGCGCCCTTGTACTGACGTACAGTAGGTACAGCAGTGTAGTCTGGTGCCAATAATTACGACTAGCGCTGCGATTTTTCATACACATGCTTGTGCACTCTCAATGGTATACCTCAACCCCCCAAGAAATGTCGAGATGGGGTGCAGAGTATGTCTCGCAATCGCGGAAAATAGCAGTCCTCCTCAGTTGGTGGATAAAATAGGGTGGACGACGACGTCATTGGAAGTGTCATTCAGTTGTCATACAGTAGGAAAACGGGCACTAAAGGAACCCCTCGTGAAAGATATTGGAGATAACCGACAACGAGCTCAACAAAAGCGTCCATCTGTAGACTACAGGCGGTATGTGTACGAATCAAGTCAAGGAAGGCGCAAAGCAATGGGGAGGAAAAGCATGCGAAGATTTTACAGCGATGCAACGTCGAGAAACGCCAGAGCCCGAACATACGCGGTAACAGCCACTATGTTCGCGAACGCTTTTGTCAACGGCATCGTAGTCTCCTGCGTTGTGGAGGCGCAGTAGTCCTTGTCGACAAAGTTCCGAGGGTTTCGCTTGCAAGTCGTCCCCGGTGTTAGACGCGGGTACAGCCCCGCGCTTTGCCGGCGGTGGTTGTGTTGGCGGTCGACGGAGAGGAGCCATTGGCGTTGCTTGTGGCTGGCGACGAAGAAACGTCGCTCGGGAGGGCGGGTTGTCTGCACATTTAGGGCGGGCTGTCTACGCGTTTAGGGCGTTAGATTGTGTCTTTGTCGTTGATCCGAGCGACGGCACTGTATTCTGTGCGAGTCTGGTTCGCCGAGCGCTTTTTTCTACAGCCGCAACGAACGTGGTGTCCATCAAACACGCAGCACGGAGCTTCTGGCAGTCGGAATCGAACATCTCGTTGTCTACACGTTTAGGACGTTAGAGGTTGTCTTTGTCGTGCATGAGAGCGACGACGCTGCATCCTCTGCGAGTCTGGTTCCCCCGGCGCTTTTTTGGACAGAGGCAAGGAACGTGGTGCCCACCAACCACGCAGCATGGAACTTTTGGTAGTCGGAATCGAGTACGAGCTCCGTGCCGCGTGTTTGATGGACACCACGTTCCTTGCGGGTGTTGAAAAAAGCGCAGGGCGAACCAGACTCGCATAGAATACAATGTCGTCGCTCTCATCAACGACAAAGACAACCCCTAATGCGCTAAGCGTGCAAACTATCCGCCTAACCCGTATGTTGCTGTGCATTCTACAAATAGCGAATTGATCCACAAATGTGTGCGGTCTAAAACGCAATCTATCATCGCGACGAGTCATTCTTCTGTGAGTGCATAAATACTAACCTGATATCGCACACGTACGTGGGTACCTCCCCCGCCCATCAGGCTTTTTTTCTACAATATTGGAGTTTAAAGCCTACTTCGAGCAAAGCCGCATGTGGGGTTCACATCGTGTGCTAACTAGCGACGACGCACACGTTGAGCGGGTTAGGCGCTTCTCTTGATGTGCTACGCACCCGTTTTTTGTATCATAACGGCTTGGAGGTTCGCATGAGGGGATCCTAGCTCGCGCATAGTGGTATAGGGGTACCCGGACGCACATGGTTTCCCTCGCGGGGCCCCTATGCTTTTATAGGAACACTTTGTGACAACCAGTCCACCCCGCCCACTCTCCCCGAAAATCTCCAACATGGGCAAGGGTGTGGAAGAAATACGGTATGCAGGCAACCGTTGTGTACGAAACAACTATTTTTTTGTTGTCTTCATTGTCATCCCTTCTGAAGTCTATCCAGCGCTATGTTTTTGGTGAAGAGTTTGCGAAGTCACCAGATAACGCACCCTGAATGAGGTTTAAACAACAAGAATGCACTAAGAGCACGAACTACCTATCCTATCCGTCCACCCCGATGAAGCAGCGGGGGGTGTCCATGGTTGCTCTTGTGTTCAACCGGCCATGACCATCTCCACTCCGAGCCCGGGAGGTATGAGAAAAGGGTGTCCGAGACTATCATAACAGAAAACAAACGCAATGCATGTCATGCAAGGCAGTAGCAAGTTTTTATCTCAACGCGCCCCTAGCAAGCCGGGGGACCCGCTCCCTGTGGGGCGTATCACCCATCCTCGGGCAAACACACCAGCGTAACGGGAGCCGAGGTGGTCAGGCAACACCGACCGTCCCTACGGTGCTACGGTGCCATGGGTAGGCCAACTGGCACCTGCATAGAAGGAAAGCGCAACCTTTCAAGGTTACCTCGAGGGCTAGCAGTGATGGAGGGAGTCGAAAATGCCATCATGGCCTCAGAGGGGGGGACAAGCCTCTCAGATGGATGGAGCAAAACAGGCCGTGAAGCACACTCAAATACCAATGGCAACACGAACAGAACGAAAACAAGAACCGACTTCGGCTTAGTTTTGTCTGCTCTCTATGCCAGCCCCTTTTCTGCGCGGTTGCTCTCTTCAGGAACGCCATCCGCTCATACCTCGCACCATTATATTGCATGGGCAAACAACAAAGAAGGCGTGCATGTTCTCTGGTTTCGGGCCTACTTTGTGTCCTCCACCGTGCGAACGTCGAGGTACAGTACAACATCTGTCTATCCTTGAAGCATTTTTCAACGGGGTTTCAAGCACGAGCACGCAATCATCAGGACATTCGTTAACAGGTTAGTCTTTTTTTCTTGCCCTTCTTTTCTCTTCCAGCCACACTTTCGTGCGGGGAGTTTCTTGCCGCCGAATAGGCCCAAGTCTATATAATAGGCATCAGCCATGCCGGTGGAAACGCGAGCCTCCGCTGCGGCTGCAGCAGCCAAGGCTCCTGATGCCAAGCCGCCGCCCAGCGGAGTCGGGAGCCTGGCGGTCCTGTTCGTCATGTGGTACGGCTTCAACGCGTACTACAACATCAGCAACAAGATGGTCGTCAGCACTTGGTTCTTCCCTTACACCTGTGCCTTTCTGCAGGCAGGTTCGGAAATGATTTATTTTGGCTTCGTTGGTCTTTTTATGCTGTTATATGAGTGGTGTGCACCTTTTGGAAAGCAGACGCCGTGCGAGCTAGGAGGCCACACGAAAAGCGCCGGTCTCTTGGGCGGACGAAATCGGAACAATTATTTTTTTACCTTGCCGCTGCCCAGAGCGCGTGCTGCCCAGAGCGCGCGTGTCTCGTCCTGGCCAATACAGAGTTCAGTTTGTTCTGCTCGAGGACCCCACGTACATGCGGTACAGTCAGTAGGTCTCGCATTCGCCTTGTCTATATCGTCAGCTTTACCAATAGTCTAATGGTGCAGCACTCCCCTTCCGTTTTTGTTTGGATGCTGTCTCTCTCAGACGGTCATCGGTCTCGTCTACCTCATCCCGATGTGGGCCTCCGGCATGCAGAAGGTGCCCAAGCTCACTAAGGATGACGTCATCAAGGTATGCCACGGTAGTCGCTGTCGTGCTTGACCACCTTCAACGCCTGACAAGCCACGATACTACCTACCGTGATGACCACCGACGGCGCTGTACGGTTAGTTTTCGTCTAATAACAGGCAATATCTACTGCTGTGTACCTGAATGCAATACCTACCTACACCAACACCCCCATCCCCCCGTCCCCCCTGGCCTCACAAGCGAGTATTCGTAGGATGCATGCTTTTACCCTTTCCATGCGGCTCGCCGAACACTTCACGTCGAAATCGTGCTTGGTGCTATGCGAGCCTGGTCGGCGATAACCCAACGGCGTGGGCATGGATGATCATGATTTTCACCCCCCTCTCCCTCGTCCTTCTCTACCGCTATATACATCACCCCTTCACCGTACATCATGTTAACTGCAGCTGCTTCCGATCTCGATTCTCCATGCCGGAGGCCACCTGGCTGCCGTGCTGTCGATGAGCGCTGGCGCTGTTTCGTTCACTCACATCATCAAGGCGTCGGAGCCGGTGGCGAGCACGGTCATTGGCCCCTTCTTCGGCGTTGAGGTCCAGGTACGAGTATCCACATGCATCTACAGCGGTACCTCTCGTGTATTCGTGACGTACTTCTGTCATCAGTTCTGAAGAGAGGTTCTCGGTTGGGTTCGGTACATGGTCTGCCAAGGACCATTATTCGACGGATCTGAGAAGATTCTGAATGATCAGACAGGAGCTTCGTCCCGATGTTGTTGTTGTTGTTGTTGTTGTCTTCACATTAAAAACCGTTCCGATCTCTCTCTACCCAGTACCTTCGTATGTCCGTACTGATCCAACACTCGACGCGGTCGATTCCCGTGGTCACAGGTTAACTTACCCTAAAAAGGTACACTCAAATAAACTGGCCCCGAGGGGTCCGCAAGTCAATAGAGATCAACGACAGATATTCTGGAATCCTCCACTCCCTCTTCGCGCTATGCGAGGTATCAACTGAGACTAGCAGTCACTATCTATCATGGGCCGGAGAGAAAGAGGTACACCCCCTTGGTTCAATCTTGGTATTTCACAACGCAAGCAGAGACAAGGCCATCTGGCACAGAAAAAGAGAGAAAAAAGAGAAAAAAGAGAAAAAAGAGAAAATAAAAATGGAAACCGTACAATAAGGAGAAGAGGAAATAAAATGAAAATAAAATGAAAAAGGGCGAGGACAAAGAGGGACCAGGCCGAAAATAACAAGAAGTATGAGGCAGAACAAGGCACACGGTGGAGAGACCACTGACGAACAAGCAAACACGCAAACATGGCCACCAACCAGCGATACATTGTAATGGTACGAAATTACTACTACTGGGGGGTTGGTGCAATGGTGCAGCGTTGGGGGGGGGGGGGGGGGGGTACTCATAGTCGTGCATGCCGTAGTCGTGAGACCATTGACCTCGCATCCCTACAAAGCCGGGACGGAGCACGCCGGGTTCTCACCGGACCAGGCTCCGCGTTGGGGGGGGGGAATTGGCGAAAAGAAAGTCAATCCGGCACGTGTCGTGCCACTCGGTCCGTCTCTTCTCGTTTGCTTTCTTCCCTCGCCGTCCCGTCCGTCTCCTGCCCCCCTCCCGCCCCATTGGTTGTTGGCTTGTGGTTTCGTTTGAGCGCTCGTTGTCGGCTGGCCTCTTCTTCCTTCTCGTGCCAGGAGGTCATGAACCTCTCAGCTCCCTGCAGCACCGCCGCATGCCAGGGTACTCCCCCCTCCACCTTCGCGGCTTCCCTCCACCTTAACTTCGGTGCCGTGTCTTTCGGTACGGGAACTCCGAGACAACATGGGTCGGTTTTCGTAGATCCGTGGTCGGCCCCGAATGCCTTCAGGTCGTCGAGCACACACTTCGGCCAGTTCTGTTCCTGTCCCCCCCTACGTGGCTTCTCCCCCCCCGCCAGCTCGCCGAGCATCAGTCGTTTCGCGAGTCGCCCGTCCGGCTGCCTTGCCAGTGCTCCCGCGAACAGTAGGCGTCGTTGTCGGATCGTGGCTTCAACGCTCTGGCATTCGACCCTCTTCAGCGTCTGGGCGTACGAGAGCTGCCGGTAGGTGTCTTTCTTGCGCTTGTACCCGATAACTCGAAGGAGCAGTCGGTGGTGTGTCGACCGCAGCGTCTGATAGTGGCCGCTGAGTGGTGACCATGTCATGCAGCCGTTCAGCAGTGCCTCCATCGCCTCCGCCTGGAGGAGGCGGATCTTGAGTCGGAATGGCGCTTTCGGTCTGTCGAAGAGCTCCTGGCCATATCGCCTGAGGCACGCCCACGCTCCTCTGCTCCTGTAGCTGATCTCCCGGGTGAGGTCGCCATGTTCGTTGACGAGGCCACCGAGGTACCGGAACTCGGTCGTCTGGGCGTATTTCTGTCCCGCGGCTTCAATGGTCAGTGGTGGAGGAGGCGGGGGGGGCTGTGATGTTGCAGTCGGCTTGTCCTTCGCGCGCATCAGGAGCGTCTCCGTCTTCTTCTCCGACACCGTTACCGATGGTCACCCCCCATCATCCCGTGGTCATTGGAAGGAGGTGCATGTTCTCATGTTCTCTCAGTCTACGGCGGTAGGATTACTTTTGCGAAGGAAGCCCGCTTCTTTCTCTTGGAAAGCCGCGGAATGCACTCGCAAGGCCTCTCCAATGACGTGTTCTGCTTCTCGTGCAGCACGTGGGCCTTTCGCCGGCGTTTGTAAACCCACTGTCTTCATAGACACCCTTCGGTTGCGGGGGACTTCGCAGACGAAGAATACATTGTAGCCTGCTAGATATATACTACGTGCTACGTTGGCTTCTTTGCTTCATCCCCCGTCTGTTGATCCTTCTAGGGATGAAGCCGTACCCTACATTGTTGCATCGTATGTACCACATACATTTATTTGCCGAAGAGAACGAAAAAATGGCGCGCGAGTCTGCTTTCCGCCTCCGTAACCACCGTGCTCATCACTCATGCAGTCGACGCCCGGCTTCGCTCGTTTATTGCGCCTCACTTACCACCGGCCGGCCCGTGTGTTGGTTGCCCCCAACAGCCCATGACGGTGAACATGTTCCTGCTTCCCATCGTCGGAGGAGTGGCCTACGCCGCTATGAAGCCGGGGCAGGTCAGAGCTGATTTTGACACAATTGCTATTGTTTTGTGTGGTTCTGCGTTTGATTCCACGCCCCCAGAAACAGTAGCCGGGAGCAAGAACGCGCCGACTGTTTTCGTAGCGTGCTTCCAGGACGACCTTCGGCAACGGGAGGTTGGAGGCGCAATCTGTTGGTGCGCTCGTTGCTACATATGATGGATTCATCTACATGTTGTCTTACAAGTGCAAGACGGGCGCGCTGGGTGCGGGGGGGGGCGTTAGTTATCATTGTGAGGGGTGTATGTCGTGTTGTACATACTTGACACCATATTTTGGTTTGGGTTATATATTTTTTGTTCATTTTTTCTTCCCAGGGTCTGGACATGTCGCAGCTGACCAACTTGGCCTCTGGTTACGCCATGGCCTCCAACATATTTTTCGCCATCCGCGGCATCCTCTCCAAGCAGGTATGGTATCTAGCGTGTGCATGTTCTAACGGTTCAAATGCGAGTCTGAACAATTCATTCCCTGCGGGCGCGAGACTTGTCGAAAGCATTGTTTGCTCTGCAAACGTGAGTGAAGCATGGCGTGTGTTGGCCGAACGCTACATTCGACGATATGCTGAGATGACGGCGACATCGGGTCCTAAGTCCTAAGGCACCCGACGGAACTTGGTGTATTCCTATTCTGGTTACTGCAACGACACGACGTGATCTCGTCGCGCTCGTTCGCGGAGGCATGCACCCCCATTGCAACGAATTGTATCCAGCTACAGCAGCAGTGATCCCTCCCTGTACAAGGCAGCAGCAGCATCAACAAGGCCGCCGGTATATGAGAGAGCGGTGAAATCACGTGACACAGATGGGACGTTTAACTTGTCTCATGCTTTGAGTAGTGCCGGGTGCCCGGTTTTGACAACCCCGCCCTCTTGCTTATTCAGAAGCCGCTACAAAAAGTTCCGTTGCTGTCGTCGAGTGCCTGTACTACGCAGCAGCACCAAACCGACCCTCACCCCCACACGTCCTAGTATTGCCCCCGAACTCCCCGTGTTTGTCTTTCGAACGTTTCCTTCCGGAGGGGGGGGGGGGGGGGACGATACCCCCTTCACGAAGCCCCCGCTTCCTCTTGTGATTACGAGTAGTGGTAGTACTCTACCTGGCTCATCTTCTATCTTGTTCGTCTCCGTGTTCATGGTTCCGTTGCCCTTGTGGGTCTACTGCTTGCTGTCTCAGGTGATGACGCCCGAGTACAAGGAGACCAAGAACATGTCGGCCTCCAACACCTACGGCGTTCTGACCATCATGTCCTCGGTCATCCTCGTCCTGCCAATGCTCTTCTTCGAGGGTCTCGCGTCTAAGGATGCTTTCGACGACGTGAAGGACAAAGCCACCCTTCTCAAGGTAACCACCTCTTGGCAACACTCTGCGGTATCTACAACTACGAAGGGCGCCGCTTGCTCTTGAACGGCCCAATATCTTGCCTCTGGGAGATACATGTTGCCGCCGAATCACCAACCTCGACCGCGTTCTCTTGCTACATATATTTGTTGTTCAATATTGTGCAAGTAGGTACATATGTTCGTTCACGTCGCGACATGCGTACTGTATGTGTTTCACCTTGCTACGTGCATATGCCACCCTCAATCTTTGCTCAAGTAACGCCGCTTGTGCGCGCTTTAAAAAAACAAACTCGAGCAGACTCTTCTCGGATGCGGGATTTCGTACTACCTGTACAACGAGATGGGCTTCCGGGTGCTGAACCGGCTCGACCCCGTATCCTCTGCCGTCGGCAACACGGTCAAGTGAGCTTTATTTTCGGGCATTTCGGGCTGCATGTCTGTGACTATTGGGTTGTTGTTTAGGGGTTTGGGGTTGTTTCATGGTCTTCTCTGCCTCTTTCAGTACGGTCTTGTAAACTACCAATATCGATTTTTTTTTCTCGGGTTGTTTGGGCGCAGAATTTGTCGAGCTATTACTTTAGTTGTTGATGTCAACCCGCCGAGTCGTCCACCTTCTGTTGTACCGTTCGTCGGAAAATACATTCGTCGGAAAATACACCCGGGTATGGAGCAAACGGGCTGCCGGCAACGTTTGTTGTCGTTGCTTTACAATGTATGGCCCCTTCCATTGTGCAAACCGTCTACATAGTGAGCGCATGAGGTGCACCTGGGGTTGTTTGGAATTGACAATTATTCGTGCTTCTTTTGGGTTACACGAGACAGAGATAGAGATAGAGATATGTAGTTCGTCAAGTGCGGCAAGGCGAGTCGCCGTTTCAAGGGTCGAAGCCACTTAATTTTGTCTTCGACTGCTCTTAAATTACGTGAAAAACTTAAACATAGAAGTATCTCTGCGTTTCCTGGCACCGGGTCCATGGTTGCTTGTTTATGGGCGTGCCATGCCATTTACTTCTGGACGTCGATTTGCACGCCTTTTCGTACGTTTCGTCGGTAGCATGTTTGGTTTTGGTGGTTTTGGCAAGACATGGCAATGGGGGGTAAGGCGGTTGAGGCGTGATTTTGCTTCGTACCCTCAGCACCTAGAATACTGGCTTCTTCACCCCCCAACGCGAGGAGATGCCTATACCAACGCACACGCAGACGAAAAAGACGGACCGACGATCAGAACGGTGCCCACGCGCCAGCTGTGTTCTGAAATGGTGTTGACCGGCCCTCTTCTCTTCTTCCATGCCTTACCCTTGCCCTTGCTGCTTTGAACGACGCCTGTCTGTCTCGCTCGTTCTTGCTTTTTCATCGTCGTTTTTGTTCCGGTTCGCTTTGCTCCGAACAGGCGCGTCGTGATCATGGGCGCAGCGGTGCTGTTCTTGGGAGAGGAAATGAACGCCAACAAGCTCATCGGCGCCTGCATCGCGGTTGCGGGCACTCTGGCCTACAGCCTGGCCAAGAATTACGCCGCCGCAGCCAAGAAGACCAAGGCGGCCTAAAAAAGCACCGATCGTGACAAGAAAATAACAGGCCAAAACATGAAAAATACCAGACTTCTCGTGCGTGTACGTACTTATTTCTCGGAACCAACGATTTTTGCTTCGCCTTCAGGGTGTGATGGTTTCGAGATCCGGCGGGTATACGCGTCATCTTTGTGAAAGGCGTTTTTGAGTGTTTGACGGCGGGAGAATCACTGAAGCATGGTTCGCTTGTCCACGGGAGGGAGAGCAAAAGTGACTGATAAAGTCCTCCCCCACGACGCTTTAGGGCACCCACACCACCAGTTGGCATGTATGTAGCCATGTCTGCTTCGCGCACGACGAGGGTCAGAGGGTTGTCACCTTTGTATGAGTAGTACTCTATTATACTACCCTAGCACACAACGAGGTTGCACGTACCGTGTGTGAAAAGCACAGAGAGAGTGGTCTGTTTGCGAAGCATGAAGACCAATCAGTAAATCTATGTTGGCCTTCTTCTCGAGAAGGAGAAGAGCCCTACAACAGTTAGAGGAGACGATGTAGAGAAAGGTGGGCTTAAACCTTCTGCATGTGCATTATTTCTTACGCGTACGTATTTTTCCCGGTTCCAGGGGGTGTTTGTTTTGGCCTGCGGGACTGCTTTTTTTGCGGCGACCTCCTCAGATTTTGACCGAGAGGAATTGTGATGCCACCGCCATGGCGCCTTCGTGTGAAGCTATAGAATCATCCCGCTCCCCGAACACGTTTACCACTCCATGGTCCGCGTTTGACTTTTTTTATGCATGCATACTGTTACTGCGGTATCCAGTGCGTTTGTACGTAGACATTTTAGAGAACAAGAAGAGAGCAGTTTTCGTCGCCGTTCGGCGTGCGGCCTTGGCTGGTTGTACAACTCATATCGGAGCCGGAAATGTCTGCACATCAGACGCGCGGTGGTGGTGGTGGTGGGGAGGGGAGGTTGAGCTTGAACCGACAGACAGGTCTTAGGCTTGGGCGAGGATGGTGGTGGCTGACGCCAGAAAGTATGCCAAACAAGAGGACTTTACACTTTACATCATTCGCGTACATACTCTGCATGACGTAAGGCCGCTCGATGTATTACTATTTTTTGCGGCGAAACGGATGTTGCGTGTTGAGAGAAGGTCGGCGGGCTGCGGGGGTGCTTGGCGGTGCTGTTGGCCTCGACTTGATTGGACGCGGAGAAATCTAAGAACTTTTTTTTTGTGGTGTTTCTTTGTCTCTCGTGTCGACAGCGCATATATATGCGTGTAGAAATAATGCACTTAAAATAGACAACTTTGAGGAACTTGCCAAGGGTTCAACTTCGAGGGGAGGTGGGACATAGATAGGTACTTGCAAAAATTCGCATACCTTGTTACGGCTCTGACGTTCCATTCCAACGGTATCTGTGCTTGCTGCGTTTCAGGCTTGCGCGTAAAATCTCAGCCCTGTCCTTCTCTCTTCTGTTCTAGAAACGCGACAATTGTTTTCCGGGACACATTCACTTCATTTCTTTCCGGGATACAATACTGTCCAGAAAAAAACAAGACTAGAGGACGCACAGGTTGATCGCGATACCCTCTATTGTCCACAACGATGACTAGATACGCAGGCGAAGAAGTTCACTCTGCCCGCTTGATCGATGAATAGCGAAGAAGGTGTGAGTTCCCTCGTTTGCGTTACACACATACCAGCTTCAGAGCCTATCGATCCGCTTCATGCAAAAAAACGTCCGAGCGAATGGCTAATAAACCTAATAAACGTGACAGCGACACACAACAACCGTTCGCCAATTTCGCTAAAAGGTGTGCAAAGGATAAGGTACAAGTTCCCTGCCTCTCTGCGGTACACACATACCAGCTAGATTGAGAACCTATCGATCCGCTTCACGCAATAAACGCCCAAGCGAATGGCTAAAAATGTGATGGCAACACAAAACCGTTCACCTAAATCGCTATAAAGGTGTCACTAGAATAAGGCGCTCCTAGGACAAAAACATGACAGGTACTTGGACATACCATTCCCGTCGACAGGCCCCCCAAAAAACACTCTGAACTTACGCAGGAGGGCAAGACACACTTCTTGCTGTGTAACCACGTGTAAAGTTCCTTCTCTCTGCTGGGTGGAGCTATTTCTACCAGCCCGTGACACACCAACAAGTTGTGTAGACTAAAATGAGTAGAAACGCCGGGCGCTATGGGGGGCTCCCGCGACGGAATCAGAAGACGCAAAACGGCAACACACAGCACGAAACAAACGCATACATGAAGCAATAATGTTACCACACCTCTTTTCCCTCCTACGATTGCAACTTAGGCCCAAGCATGAGGAAAGCACGCGCACTGCACCCTCTCTCTGGGTGCCGTACTGCCGACACGGCTGTTCCCCAATACTCGACGACTAGACTCCGACACGACCTTCCACTAACAACTAACGCCCTGTCCGAAACGCCGCTATTGTACACGCAAAACGAACCTCCGCCAAACAAGCCTTACCAACGACTGCCCGCGTATCTCTGTGCAGCATTGGTTTTCCTGTCCGCCGTTGTCAAACCGAAACGGATTTTCTTCAAAAGTGCCACACTACCGGATACTGTCTCTAGATGCAAGACCACCGCAATTTCGTGCCCGAAAATTACCGCACTCACGGGAGCAAAATCATACGTCCATCAACCAAGGTAACCCCCCCCGGAGGACAAAGCCCCAATCACTAACGATCCCGAATAACCGCAAAGCGCCACGCATCGTCCTCTCACCCCTCTCTCTGTCTCTCGCATCGTATCTCCTGTTGTGCAATTCTCAATGGTCTAACCGCTAAGGCATGCAAAACGTGAGCACGCCCCCCCACCTGCCCTCTCTCCCCCCCCCCCCCTCTCTCTCTCTCTCTCTCTCTCTCTCTCGCGTTGTGTCTGCTGTTGTGCCATTGTCAATGGTCTAACCGCTAACGCATGTAAAGTATGAGTACGCCCCCCCCGCTCTCTCTCTCTCTCTCTCTCTCTCTCTCTCTCTCTCTCTCTCTCTCTCTCTCTCTCTCTCCCCCTCTCTCCAGCTATCTCTCGCATTGTCTCTCCCACTGTGCCACTCTCTGTCAGCGCAACCGTGCGGGGGCATCGCTGAGCTTTCTCAGCTCGAGCTCGGCGCAGGCGCTGCACAGGCATGGCTTCGGTTTCTCCTTGGCGCCGTAGTTGAACACTAGCTCTGGCCCGGGTGATCCCTGCGGGTTTGAAGGGTGGTGTGTGCGCAACGCGGTGCAGGTTGAGGACAAAAGTCTCAGCTAACAACGGAACAAGGGACGAATAGCCCCATACCCATCTCCAAAATATCTGCCCCACAGGCCGGCTATCCCCAACCAAACCAACTGGTAGGTAATCTTTCAACTGGTTGATATGTACGACCAAAGAATCGTGGAAACAACCAACCGGCAATCTAGGACGCTTCATCATCTTCTCACTCAAGACGTTTCATCACAAGGTCCGTTCTTGAACCTCGAGGATGTTTCGAAACATGCCAGGAATGCATTCTTAATTACTACTGACTCGTGAAACGGTTTCTTGACGCCCTGCCGTACAGCAGTAAATACCTCCTTTACGACGATCTTCTTGAGGGCGAAGAAGCCGTGGATGGGCTCTCTCCTGTCGGTGTTGTTGGCCACTAGCTTGCGAACCTTCACGTTGGCCCCGCAGCACGCGTGGTTGAACAGGGCGGCCACCCCCCGGTATCTGCATCCATTGCATCCGTCGAACATGGTGCTTAACGCAGTTGTTGTCGTAGTTGATGTTGTGTGTACTTGTAGTTGTCGTAGTTGCTGTTGTTGCTGCTGCTATTTTTTTGTCTAGAAAATTGCATACAATGAAAGAACGGCTATTGTACCCGTTCGAGATAGAACCACGGTCGAAGGGCATGTGTTGGAGTCTTTGCAGTGATTGGGAGAAAAAACAGCTGGATATTGTTATTGCTGCTGCTATTACTGCGTCTAGAAAACATGCAAACAACCACAGTGTGCTCAAGTCTTTGCGGTGAGTGGGAGAAAACCCGGCTGGATAATGTTTGCTGTTGTTTTCATGTGCCTGTTCGGCGGTTCGGAAATCAAATATCGCCGCCAAAGTGATACCCCCCCCCCCCCCCCTCGTCGGGAGAAGACAGAAAAAGGTACAACAACGCCATGTGTTCGGCGTGCACAGCAGTAGCCAAGAACCAAATGCCGGCGGCCATGCTTCAACAAATAATAATTCTGGTATAGTCCCAACACGCCATAAATACGTTTCAGTTTCCACGAACAGGAACTTCAATATATGCGTGGTACAACTGTCAGGAGAGCGGGTCGCTTAATGGCCTTAGGGGGGCTTCGGTATCGGCGACTGATAGGTTGCTGTTGTTGTCGTCCATCCGCCAACAAAATAAACACGCAACTGATTTCATGAACTGATCTAAGGGCTAGCTAGAACACGCTCTTGTTTTTACCACCTGTAAGGACTTTTAGAAATAGACTGAGGGGGGGGATAACGCCACAGCTGAAAAAAGTATTACGCACAGCACAGCATGGTACACCACAACGGGAGTCAAACACGCTATGCCAACCAGATGGTTTCTTTTTGGGGGGGCAGGGGTATCCTTCCTCTTTCCTGCTGTACAGTCCTGTAAGATTCGCCTTCGCAACGCGTTTCTTCGCGGATGCTACTGCTGTAGGACGTACGGGAAGCCTCTGTGTAATGTGTTGCCTTCCTTGGGGCCGAAGGTTACGGTAGGGGTAGGGTCCTAGAGTAAGGGTTACTGTCAGTGTTAAGGGTTTTGTTAGGTTCGGGGTTAGACTAAATGGCCACCAGAGGTTCGCTTGTTCCCCTTGAAGGGCAAGGAAAAACAAGGTCCTGTGTAGAGGCAAAAAAAGGTGACCTCACGTGAGGTCAGCCGGCCGCAAGCCCGAAGGCAGCAGTTTGAGAGACACCCGTAAAAAATTGCGACCCCTGGACCGATTTCACAGACCGACTGCTCTACAAGTAAGGGCGAGCTGATCCCGAAAACGGTGGTCTTGGAAAAGGGTCTCGTCGGGAGAATTTCTGCCATGTATTTCGTCCGTCTCCAGAGTGGAGCAATTCAACTTAGAAGGTCCATCAACGGAACGGAGAAATTCAGCTCTTAAAGTCTAACTACGGAGTGTGCCATTTCTCGCACGTTCACGATAACCCCATGCATGATACATGCCTCTATTCTTACCGACCAGCATCGACCCTAACCGTAAGCCATGCATGATACATAGCTCTATTCTTACCGGTCAGCGTCGACGACGATGTTGTCCTCCGGGCACCGTCTGTCGGTGTACACGTTGAAGCAGTAGCACGGCCCCCCGGCGTTGTCTCTCCTCTCGTACTCGGGTTCCCGCGCCTGGTAGACCGACTCAGGGATCATCTGAAGGGCGCCACGGAAGGAAGCGATGACGCGGCATTAGTGGCGAGAACAACAATAGTGCGGTAACATCAACACCGGCGAAAACAGCAGTAACAACAACAACAACAACAACAACCACAGCAACAACAACAGCAGCAAGAGCAACAACAACAACAACAGCAGCAGCAGCAGCAGCAGCAGCAACAGCAACGTAGCCCTTTCCCTACAAGAACGATATGAAAACTATCATACGGCAGAGACGACCGTAATACAACAACACCAACTACAACCAAACAAGACAGCGATGAAAAACCCAACCTTTACCAAAAGCAACGCCTTCTTCAAAGTCAAAGTCACCTCGCCAGCGTAAGAGCAGATATACTGCCCTTCTTGGATGGTTCCCCTGGCCCTGACCCCCCACCCCTTGGTAGCGGTCTTGAAGGCCTCTAGCGGCGCCGTTACCCCCATCTGACAAGGAAAAAAAGCAGCAACGCAAAGGCCGTTGATCATCATCGTCACCGGCATTGGCGTGTGACACGGCTATCCTCGTCTACCGCATATCTTTTTTTTCACACCCTGTACAACTATAACTATAATAATAACCAGCTGCTAACTAGCTGAGTTGTGCAAGGGTTCAGCTACCCTTGGTTGAACGGAATCAACTATTGTAGTTGGACAAAATTCTGAGACTTGAGTTGAACGGAATCAACTATTTGGACAAGATTCTGAGACTTGAGTTGCACGGAATCAACTATTTGGACGTGATTCTGAGACTTGAGTTGAGCGGAATCAACTAGCTGGACGTGATTCTGAGACTTAAGTTGAACGGCATCAACTAGTTGGACAAGATTTCCGAGACTTCAGTTGAACGGAATCAACTAGTCGGACAAGATTCTGATACTTTGGTTGATTGCCCAAACAAATACAACTACCTTACAATAGTTGTACAGGGTGTGAGTGCGTAATCTTTAATAAACATTGCATATATATAGAAAGAAAATTACTTAGTTGAACAATTTTCGGCCCTGATCGAGCCGACACTATCTTCGCCACCCGTGGGTAGGGCAGTGGTTCCATCGCACTTCCACCTCAGTACCATAACGGCCAGGATCAGCAGCAGAATATATGTATATGCACACAATACGGCTGTGTAGCCTTGTGCTAGTACCTGGGGTTCCCTTAGTATATGTACACGTGCAATATGTACACGCGCAATACGGCCGTGTAACCTTGTGCTAGTACCTGGGATGCCCTTTAGTATATATGTACACGCGCAATACGGCCGTGTAACCTTGTGCTAGTGTGCTAGTACCTGGGATGCCCTTAGGCCGCAGTCGAGGG